ATTTTTAAAAAAATAATTTTTTTATGAAAAGTGCAAACGAGTCCCAATTAAATTTATTTAAAAATTAAAAAAATTAAAAAGTGCAAACGAGTCCTAAATAAATTATTAAAAAATTAGAAATTAAAAAAAAATATTTTTTATTTAAATATGAGAATGTATTCATTATTTCACAATTCTTTATTGAGAAATTTGATGAAATTTGATAGAAATGATGATTTGTGCTATCATATTGTAACTAATGAAGAAAATGCTAAAAAAAATAAAGGGTATGGATGTTTTTCGTAATAATAGTGAAAAATATGGGTATTTGTGTTAATTACCCGTTTAATAATTTATGTAGAACTCATTTGCACTTTTCAAAAAAGTTGGGACTATATTTGCAATTAGTTTTTTTCCTTTTGTTTGATTTAATGGAATAGGTATTTTCGTCATTTCACAATTGTTAATTGAGAAAATCGATAAAAATAACATTTTGCGCAATGAAATGTGAAAATAAGGGTGAAAATATCAAAAAAAAATAAAAAATATAGACGTTTTCCACAATAACAATAAAAGGTGTGGACGTTTTATGCTAATTACCCTTCTTAAAAAATGTGGGGGGAAATCAAGCAAGGTTAACTTTGGAGGAATTCTATGGGACCCATATGAACCAATTAATTGGTATTAAGCACCGCCTTACACAGTAATTATAAGAAAATAAATAATAATTTCACTTAAATATAATAGTGCTCTAATAACCTTATTCAATTAATTGGACATTTGTAAAACCAGACTCTATTTATTTTGAATTACATAAAAATGCTTCTTTTTTGTCAAAAATATTTTAAAATAAAAGTGTCATTTTAATATACGTCACGTCCATGTTTGATGTAGCTTAAAAAAATTGATAACAAATAATTTTACTCACTGTATTGTAGGTGACTCACAATTTTTATCAAATTTTCCGATTTTGCTACTGGTACATCAAGGTGTACATCGGCGTGTACATCACCCTCACATGAGGGTGGGACCCGTTTGAATAAAAAAATATTTTATACAAGTGGGTCACATCCCCACGTGAGTGTGATGTACAATTCTTGATGTACAAGTAGTATTTTTGTTTTCAATTATACATTTCATCAACTTTTATCAAAATTTACTAAAAATACGATTTTATTTTATTTTTTTAACTATCTCAAACATGGGCTAAAAAATACTATGTCCCGGTTTGATTTATCTAAAAAATAATAAAAATCTAAGTTGTAAATAATTATTTTTAATAAAACATTTTATG